CTTCGCTGCGTGCCCCTCCTTATGGCACCGGAAGCACCGTCCCGACCGGTCTGGTCCGTTGCAGCGGGTGGACGTAGCGTTGGTTGTATTAGGTATATAGAAAAAATACGGATGATGGAACACAGATAATTTTGTCATAAATAGTATACATGAATTTCTTTCCTTAACTATATATGAAGCCTGAAAAAAATTAATCTGCGTAAAACTCAATTCAACAGAATTTTTTTTTTAAATCGCTGTCAAGGATGCTGTGATAGTCCGAAAAATAATTTAACTACTAAAAAAGAGTCCTAACTACTGAACTCATAGTTACACTTCACAGTTTAACCTTATAGTTAAGATTTTGTAAAAAAATTGCCTATACTTTACTCCTTAAAAATGGGCGGTGTGGCGTCCTCTTAACAATATAATGAAAATATTTATCTGATAAGTGATACCTGTTGACTATTGATTCATTTACACGTAAGTACATAAAAATGTAATAAGGTGCAAGTGTTATTTCACGCCTTTCTGCTATCAAGAATTTCCTTTTTAGAATATTCATTGTATTCATTACAAATTGTGTGTAACATAATTTATGTAATTACTCAATTAATTAAAAAAAGTATTCAATTTAAAACTAGTTAATTAAAGTGTACTTTATAATTATAATAAAATGTCGTTTTTTTTAATTAAGTATATAATTAAATATACTTAATTAAATAATTAATTATATGAAACTATTGTTCCTGTAAGAATAAATTATGCCAGTCTATATTTGAAGGTCCGATTAAATTTTCTTCATAGATACTTACTGACTATTCAAGTTTGTAAAGGTACAATTGTGAATTAAGCCGTTGAACGCAACAGTGGACTGACTCCCCGAAAACAAAAAATGGAATTTTTAATTTAAACCGTACTAGTTACAAGTAACCATTTTTAAAAATGCTGTCATATAGTGGAAAATAAAACAAATAAAAACAAGTCAGTGTTGCATTTAACTATATTTAATTCTAAAAAAATATTATTATCATTCCCATTTTTTTTTTTAAGGTTTAGTCGGTTATTATTATTAACCGAAGGCCTCAATTAAAAACAAGATTTTAATTAAGTTTGGCGTTTTAGATTCAACGTAGAACTAAAAAGGTATTGTTTTAACAATGCAATATGTTTTATTGTATTTTATATGTTTTTTTATTTAATTATCCCACGATGTCATTTAAACCGCTGAACCGATTTTCTCCACTGCACTGCCCTGATTTTACTAAGCTGGCTTTTTTTAATTTAGATTACATTTTTTTCTATTTGTTGATAATAATGTCATCTCTAATTTATTGTTGCAAATGTAAAATAAAATGACCACTAATTGAAAATTAAGTATAAAATCCGAGTAATATTTTGTCGATAAACTGCATTATCAAAAAAAAAAAAAACCAGCACAGTTAAATCCAGCTTAAATATCCAAGTGCAATCTAAACCAGAACAGTGTGAACGAACACAGTTCAATCCGAGTACCGTATAGCTCAGTGTAGAAGAAGTTAGCAAAGTTGGGTGGAGTAAGTTTTTTAATCTGAATGTATTCATCACAATTAAATGCTTCGATGCGAATGTGGAAATAGTAAAAACCCAGCATATTCCAAGCCGGCACAGTAAGAAATTTCCAAAGTGGGGTCTGGTATTCACTGAATCACATCGAAACTATACCTAAAAAAAATTGTTTTGGGGGTAAAGCAATTGTTTATTTCAACTTCACTCAATGTATCCCTTAATTTTCCAAAAGAAAAAAAAATTACTTATTTAATCGTTTAACAGGGGCAGATCCAGGGCCTATGCCACACCCTTACAAACAAATTTAGGTCACCCCCTTCATTTTTATAGACTAGATCGCTGTTGAAGCCTGTACCGTTCAAAGAATGAAATCATAAATCATACTTACAAATGGACCCAACCGACCAACTTATCTAGAGAGAATAAGTCCTCATTACCAGAATGAAATTGGACACACTGGATTGACGCACGACTTCTTAATGTCTAAGTCCGAATCCCCTCTCTGCGAAGCATGTGGAGTAACGGTGAAACACATACTTACAGAGTGCACAAAATATCAGACTCAACGAACTGATAATGAAATATCGGAGGATCTGTCAGAAACCCTCGGACCTCAACTCGAAACCATCAACAAGCTTATTAATTTTATAACCCAAACCGAAATAAGCAGTTATCTATAAAAATGTACTGTTTCTACACAATGTTTCGCTTTTCAATATTTAATTAATGTATTTAAATGTTTTGTATTGTAATTTATGTAAATATAGTTTAATGTAGCTTAATATAGTTTAATTGTTTTTAAAAATATTACTGTTTACGCGTTGTACGCGTATGCGTTAATGTTGTTGTTCGTTGGCGTTCCACTCCCTCCTGTTTTTGTTGTTGTGACCGTCCTCTGTAATTAAAAATAATCTAACCTGTTGTTGTTGCTCATTGTAATTACCGTTTCGTCGTCATTATCGTCGGTGGTCTTTTTCTTATACCACAATCTTTTTTTTTTCGTTCGTATATATTGTGTTTCTTATTAGAAATTAATTCTAATTAAAAAACTAGTATTAAACAATTATTAATTTAATATTCTGTTATTATTAAAATAACGTCGTGGATATGTTATTCACAAGATCGTTTTTAATGTATATAGATCTGTAAATAATAAAATCGTTCATCTCAACAACCTCGTGTTTATTGATATTCTGTCCGAGTCAATAACACTGATTTCCCTGGATTACTTCCTGTAAACTGTCTGTTTGCTGTAATTGGCTGTCTGTGGAGTTTGCTGTTTGCGTAAGTCCTCTGAAAGTATCACACTTGTCACGTGGCCGCCGAGGTCATCTAGAGCCCAGCTGCGACGATTCACTCCCCCGACCGTTCAACAACTGTCTGTTTGCTGGAATTGGCCGTCCGCGGAGTTTGCTGAGTGCGTAAGTCCTCCATCATTATCACGAGGCCGCCAAGGTCGTCCAGAGCCCAGCTGCCACGCTACACCCTTGGTTGTCCGTAAACTGTGGCCTTTGATTTCGATTGGCTAAATGCGGAGTTGACTGTTTGTATAACCGTCAATCATTATATTGAATTCACCTCCGTCAATAGTATTTAAGTTAGTTTTAAGTTGTGGACTGAATGTTTAGTTTTAAGATTTATCTTTTGGCCATTGCACTAAACGGAACCGGCCATAAGAAGCCCCTTATATAATTTCTATTTCCTGCAATCCGTTGTGAATATAAACTGCTTCCTTTCTTTAAAACCCGCGTCGGTCCCGTGTTATTATTATCCAACTTTCCCATCTGCCATCTGAACAGCGAACAGTTACAGTGTGCGTTAGGTTGCCTACCCAAAATTGATAAGGCGTAACGACGCCATTTCGGCTTCAGTCTTTTTCTCGTGTCGAAAAATTTCGACTGGTCCTTCGTTCGTTTTATTTTGTTGCTTTACCATACAACTACCCTATTTTTTCTGATTTTTACAATTATTTTTAGAGGTTGCAAGCATCAGTTTCAAAAATTTTTTTTTTAGTTTTTAATTTTTTTAAGGTATAAATATAAATTTTTAACAAATGTTGCTCGTATACAAAATCATCATTACAAAAAGAGGAATAAACCAGTATTTTTTTTTTTTTACAAAAAAAAACTACTATCCAACTAATTTAGGCCCTGGAATGTAAAATTTGCGAAAACATTGATATATATATATATATATATATATATAAACTATTTTTAATTTATTCCTCATTTAGTTGCGAGTAATTTCGATATATATATAAATAAATAAACGAATGTATAACAATTTACTTAGACTTTATTGTTAAATTAAATATAATACAACATACATTTGTATTAATATTTATCAATATTAAAAAAAATGAATACATCAACTTACTGAATTTACTTACTGCATAAATTATATTTATATAAAAAAAAAATCGAATTTACAATAGTTTAACCCGAGTGATAGGCGTTTCTGAGTTTGATTTTATTAAAAACAACATCATTTTAAAAAATAATAATACCATTTTCAATGGTATATTTGGATTTTTGTTTTGACTATTTTAGCAGGTTGAAATAAAAGATATTTCCAGTAAACAATTACGGTGTCGTTGTTGCCGACGCTGATAATGACTATTATTTTTGTGTATATATATAATATTTCGTTATTTTGGGTACAAATCCAAAAATTAAATTTATAAAGGATTAAAATTCAAAATTGAAAAAAGTGCTTCGAGGGCTGTCAAGTAAACTTCATGACGAATTTAAATCTGATTCCAAATTACTTATCGGATCACTGGTTCGGCCTATGCGATGGTCAAAAAATAATGTGTTTTGAATGAAAAAAATGATACGGTACGAATCCCCTTAAATACCTAAACCTTGGTGATTCTATTGTACTTATTTGCAAATTAAAAGTTATCAAATTTTTTTTAAAACAATGAAACACAATTACTGTGTAAATGAGGATCTAAAATGCTGTGAGAAAAAGATCTGGATGGTAGTTGTGGTACGTTACTCGTTAATCGGTTAATCGTTACCATAATGTTATAATAACAGTCATATTATAGTAGATTATTATTCAGGTATTTCAAATTTCAAATTTGATTCACGGCTGTACAGCTGTGTACTTATAGCTAGACGCTGGTATCTTCAACCGTGATTTGGGCACAACTCTCTTATTAATTATCACGTAGCCACAACTGCGGGCTGCAAAGTTTCTCAGGAGAGATCTGATAAGATTATGATAAGAAGTACAACCAACAATTCTGTAGCGCTCTTTATCGATTTTATTGTCCAACTATATACTTGATATTTTGTTAATGTGTAGTGTTTGCCGCTAGATCATATACTTACTTCGATAGAACATTCTGGCATCAACTCATGAAACCGGATCACCCTCGTCACGCAACCATTCCAGTGTTTAATAATTGTTCTACGGTGATAAGAGATAACTAATATATTCATATATATATATATATATATATAATATACATATTGCAGTCTTCTATCAGACGCCGTAAAAAGATAAAAAGAAATGTGTTTTTAGTCAAAATCGCCCACAATTATGGTTCCTTTTTATTTGTTGTTTAAATATAATTAGTTTAGAGTAATGCTGTTAGAAAAACGTTATGCCATCGAGCGACATGACTTTTACAGTTAAACATATGCGGTCGTGTACTTATAATTGTATCTCTCGATGAACAATTTGAAAGATCAAAAAGGTAGGTACCTATATTGGAAACACCAATTGACTGTACACCTATAATATTTATTACGTTCCAAATTCCATCATGATCCTTAGCTGTAAATACAGACACACACACACAAGTTAATTGATGATATAATTAAAAAACAAGTGATCTGCCCATAAATCTATTTGGCTGTTAAACAGTTAACTGACATCAACGTCTTTACATATATAATATCTAAAGTGTTTTAGTGTATTAATATGGCTAATTAGAATATTATATTGGAAGGTAGAATGATAAAAGCATCATTGATACAAGTATTAGTATCAATTGATCAGAATAACATTTCTGGTCAATTAACTGTTTTATTCATATTTATTATTAATTATTACCGTTGTAAAATAATTTTACAGATTGTTACACATTAATTATGTAACCTAACGAATATTATACGTATACATTTTTATTGTTAATTAAATTGTGTTATTAATTTTAAAAATAATTATAATACAATATTTTTATATCAACTGTTCTAGAACCTGAGATATAATAGTTTTTTTTTTTTTTTTGAAGGAATGAATATAAGCATAACTCAGAATGGAAATTATGACTTCAAAATCTAAAACTATCCGTCCTCAAGAATGGGTTCCATTTGTAACTCAGCAAGTATGTATAATTTAATTTATAAATTCTTTATCTAAATAATATTTAGTAAATTTATTTAGATGTACATTTTTAATTACACATCAAATGTAAAACATAATATATTTAATTTTAATTTTTAGCAAAGACTTCGGAATCTCATCCAAATACTGGGCTACAATTTATGTGCTGATCAAGCATATTTAGCTAACAAACCATCATTTTATTATACTTTGCATTTAACAACAATGTGTGCTCCATTATACACAAGTGAAAAAATTTGTGGGCGTAACCCAAAGTGGAAAAAATTGGATATTTGTAGCACAATTGGATCTGCTAAAGGTAGATGTTATTTAATTGTATAACATTTTTGGATCATATTATCATTTAGCTATATAATGTGTTTTAAATTTTAATAACTTTATAAAATAAAGGATTACAAAATTGGTGAGGCAGGTATTTGATTATAATGAAATCACTTTTAAATTTAATAACTCAATTGCTTAGATCCAACTTTGCTAACTTTTTGATGAACTGATTTTCACTATACTTGTTTGTTTTAATTAACTATACTGTTTATTTACCAATATTTTTTTTTTTTTTGTAGCTGTTGTTATAAGATTATGGCAAGATTCAAATGACCGGACAAAAGTGTTATTTGTTTGGGGTATAGAATTGAGCGGTCTTCTGTACATAACACCAATGACTTTAGAACCAAAAATGTTTCATTCCAACTCTCTTGTGTTTTGCATGACAGGTGGCAACTATACAGTTCCTCATTGTTTAGCTGAGGATCAACCCACTTTAGCGAGAATAACTGATCTTACTTTACCTGCTAAAGATGTAAGAATAAGTGGAACATTGTCACAACTCACTAGGTAACACGATTACAAAGCAGTTAAACTGTTTCCATACTAATATTTTGATTTATTTGTTAAAGAATGCATAGTATACAACGTAAAACTGTTGAAAAAAAAGAGGCAGCATCTATTTTAAAAGATAAAGCAATTCAAGGTGAGATTAATTGGAATAAAAATCGTACAGCAAGGCATCAAAGTGCAACTTTACGTCGAATTATGGCCAAAGATGTTGGCCAAAAGCCTTCTAGAGAAAATATTCTCTCCAGGAAAAAAGAAATTGAATTAGTCAAATTTAGAGTGCTGCTATTGAACCAGGAAAAAACTCGTAAGATTTCCCTTCTACGACATAAAACTGAAGCTAGTAAATTACTTTATAATGAAAACTGTATTAAAAGTAAGTCGATTTACTACTTACAATTAGTTGTAAATCATTAAATATCTTTTTATAACCAAAATCTCTTAACTATAAAATAATTTAAAAAACAAATTTGAATTTGTTATACTTATATTTTATTATTTAAAGGCAATAAACTAAAAGAAATATTTGAGGGTTTAAGTACAGACGTCAATCGATTAAAACAGTGGAATCTCTCATCAAGTTCTACTGAAACATTATTAGCTCTTAACAGTCAACTTGTGTATCGTAGAAAAGAACTTATTTTGGAACTAAATTACATATATCCTATTACCGAGGTAAGAATTTATCACATTTATCGTAAAAAATATATATATTTCTATAAAATAATTATAATAGTTTGTACACATTTAAATTGTTAACTGTAAGTACAAAAATATGTTATTTATTTATTTATTTAATAATTTAAACGGACGAGCCAAGTACAATGGTTTGTAGAAACCATAAAGAGACAATACATAGTATCATTGATTACAAATATTATAGATGGCTCACCGAGTCAAATTTGAGTTCTATACGCCAACAAGGGACGGGTGCTAGTAGTATCATTTTTATTGAAAACAATACTACTAGTGCCCGTCCTATGTCGACATACAAAACTAAAATTTTCTCAGTGAGCAATTTATAATATTTATAATCAACGATAGTTCTTCGGATAAAATAAAGTCAGAGAGGTGGTTTTATTGCAAATTATTAATAAATTTAGGTCACTTTATGTTAGAAGTTATACAAAAGTAAATAGTTTAAATTGTATAGAATCTTAAGAAGTATTGTCTGGGTCCTAGTTAACCAATCGTACAATATATATTTCTAAGTTAATACACTACCCACTAATGAAATATTAATACTTAATTTAAATTACTAGGGTGACTTTTGCACTTTTGTGGCATACTATGTATGTTTGTGTAATATATATTTAATTATATAGTTAATAGTTTATCTAATGTAGTTAATATGTATATAAACTATTGTTCACAGGCCGATGGAAACTTATCAATATGTAATGTTCACTTGCCAAATTCAGAAAGTTTTGATGGTTACAATGATATTCAGTTGAGCGTTGCACTAGGCTTTGTTTCTCATTTAACACATATGATAGCTTATTTTCTAGACATACCATTACGTTATCCTATACACCATGAAGGATCACGCAGTAAAATCATTGATCATATTTCTTTAGATATGCAAGACAGAGAAAGACTGTAAGTAATGCCACATTTTTTTTTAAATTTAAATAATGTAATATATAATATTATTAATTAATAATTTTTTTTAAATATTTTGATTTATTAAGATTTCCTTTATTCGGTCGAAGTAAATCACGGTTAGAATTTAATTATGCAGTTTATTTGCTTAATAAAAATATTGCTCAACTTCGCTGGTATAACGGTTACAGTACCAATGATTTGCGTACTACTTTACATAATTTTTTAATCATGTTGCAACCTCAATCAAGTTTGTAAGTATTTTTTTTTTGTTTGATATTCTACATATTATAATTATTATATGATTTTATATATGATTATATATATTGATAATTTTTTTTTTTTTTGTCAATATTATAGTGGTAATATCATTATAAAATCATAGTAGTGACATAGTGTTAACTCAAGCAATAGGCATAGTCAGTCTAATAAAAATACACGTAAAGTTTGTCTGTCCATCTCGGGCGCTACTTATGAATTTAGAAGTATTCTGGTTCCAACTATCTGACACGATAAAGATTTTGAAAACAGATTTGAATTCCTTAAAATATTTTTAGGGAAAGACTTTCCTGCTAGTTACGTCATTCTTTGTTAATCTTCCAGCGGGTATGCTGTTGTAAATAATATAACAGCAATGTAGTTATCAATTTTTTTTACATAGATTGTTATCTTGTATATGTTTTTTATGTATAAATGTGTTTTATTAAATTATATACTATTATTAGATACAGTAAATGCAGTGATATTTGATACAAATTAATCGGGTGTACAATTACCTACACTGTAACCTTTAGTACTGTTGTAAATTGTACAACGCACGACTACTCATGTTATAGCAAATAGCGTGCCCGCTGTATGGTTAAAATTATTTTTTTTTTAAATAATCGTATAATTTTTAGTCCAAAATAGAAAAAAAAAGTAGAAAAGTTATAAATTGATCTCTATGTTACAACAGAAATGAATTTCTATATTGCGTATTGAGAAAACTGGACTTACCCAACTTATTTGAAATTTTAACAAAAATACAAATAAAATAGTTTTTATTTTTCAGACTGAAATCAGATTGTAAAAAGCATGTAACATCTTCTAATTCATCTTTAGAATCTTCCCATAAGCCTATACCGAAGTATTCCAAAGACATTCATCAGTATCGAGAAGGAGGGGAAACGAGTAGTTCAGATGATGCAAGAGCTCGAGATATCCCATCCACTTTATCAGATACTTCTGTTTCTAAGGATAAAACTTCAGGCTATAAAGACTTACATCCAACTTGTTTACACTGAATTTTTTTATTAAATTATTGTTACCGATTGTTGTTATATAAATTACATAAAATTTATAAGACTGGTCTCTTTTTATTAAATATTTTCTATTAATTATAGGTACTATAAGTAAACATTTTTTTATACATTTTCTCATTTCTTAAATTTTAAAGTATTTTTTTCCTATTTATAATACCTAATTTTATTTCATTATTACAAAATTGATAAAAATAAATTGGATCTTTAAAATTATGACAAAATAGCAATTGAACTCACAACTTAATATTTTATTTATTATATTATATGAATACAAATAATAGCTAATTTATGTTGTTAAGGAGAACAAAAACCACTATTTAATATGGGGACAAAGTATAGGAAATATTTGACAATACTTGATGAAGTATTTAACCATTTTAAGTATGCTGGCTTATTTTAATGTATAAAGATATTAAGATATTTATTTTTAATTTTTTTATGTGAAACTTACTATTTTTTCTATGTGGGCTAAAAGGCTGATTTTTTATTTAGCTATTAAATAATTAGTTAAATTTATTAGACAAAACCTTAAAAAGTAAAAATATAAACGTTTATAAAAAAATATTAAAAACAGAACTAAAAAATCGGACTTTAGTCACTACGGAGAAGATAAACTTTATAATACATTTTTTTTTTTTTTTTAATCTGTTCAGTAGGCTCCACAGAATGTACTCGTTTTAGTCTTTATCTGTATACAATTAAGCGCTTTCTATTCCCCTTGACATATTTTACTTTAAAAAAAAATATTTTTCTTGTAATGTATGCTCAAGTAATGCCGTTGATTTTATAATAAAAATAAGCCAACGTTTTTTGAAATCTACAGTGTCTTAATCAGCAGGGGTAAAATTAGGTATGGTGTGTAAACACTATGCTTACATGTTTGAATGCATGTTACTCATTAGGCCCATTCCATCTCAACTAGGATAGCTTATCTATAAATTATAGAATCGATGGCATTATTGAAACAACTAAATTAAGTATGTAACACTAATTCATCCATCACAAGTATAATAAATTTAATTAATTAAAAATTTAGAATCCTATCTTATCAATATTAATAATACATATTACGATTGAACACAAATGTTTTAATAACTTCAAACAATTTGACTATATTTTGATGTCTAGTTAAACCAAAACCGAATCTTTAGTCGTAAATTCATTTACTATAATATAGTAAATTTATATAATACCATGACAAAAGAAATCTGTTTTGTCATGTATAATACCAATATTTACAATATTTTGTCATGATAAGACATGGCAAAATTAATTGGTACATCAACAACTTGTGTTATCATTTTTTTCAATATGGCAGTCGGTTATCTCATGAGAAATACACGGCCGACCGAGAAAACCGGAAGCCATTTTGCAACTATTACGAGTTCCTAACATACCTAGCTTCTTTATCATGTTAACTGTAAGGTACACAGTATTTTATTCGAAAAATTTTAGTCGTGTACGGGCATGACTACGGATCTAGATTCTAGATGTCCGTTTACTAGCTGGTAATAAAATTTATAAAAACAATAAATGTTGCTAAATTTGTGACCGCGGTTACTTAACTTCTCCGTTGCAAGATTACGGTATAATATTTCAACTTCGATAACAGCTCTAGCCTGATGCCCTGATAGCTGAGCCACATTTTTGTTTACCCATTAATATTTAGTATTATGTTGAATGTTGATTACAAAAACTCAAAATTATTTTAATTGTTCGGTGTATTGTTTAATAATTTTGCACAAGTAACATGGAAACTGAAAAAGTTTCCGACTATTTAAACCCAAAATTTGACCAATTATTTTTAAATATTGCCAAAGAAATTAACACAATAGACGAATTCCTGTACGCGTTTTTTCAATTTCTATTCAAAAGGTAGTGTTCATACTTGGATTGGTACATCAATTTAAATGATCTAAAAATATTTTATTGTAGTTAAACTATTTCCAGAAAATATTTGTAAAATTATAACAAATTTTTATCTTCAATGTAAAGCTGAGAAGGTATTTTAAGGACTTCTTTATCTATCACTGTGCTGACTTTTTTTTAAAAAGGAAAAGTGCTTTAATAATAGTCAATATATTTTGTTCAATATGAAGGAGGAGGAGGAATGACTAAGTAGGTAAGGCGGCAGTGTGATAGGCTCACTGTCACCGGTGCTTTGTTTGCCGGGCAAGCAATCGTCTGGAGGTTAGGGGCCGCCAATCCCCCTATCCATCAATGGACTGAAGACCCGTCCTGACAAACATATCTGTCTTGAAACCATCATCTCATGATGGCAGTATTGGGTCTTAAAGGCTCATTAAGCTGATGATGATATTGTGTTCAATACTAACTTGTGTACCTAACTTAAATTTGTTTACATTAAAACTATTACATAATACCATTGAGTATATATTGTATACAATATATACTCAATGATAATACACAACATTGAAAATATACTTTAATTTCTATTGTAGAACAATTTTTATGGAGTGTGCCAATAATGAAACTGAAGCAATTTCACTTTTGAATACACATTTTAAGAATTGGTGGAGTCGATCTATGGAAGAAAAAACAGAGTAACTATATTAAAATTAGTTAAAATATTATATGGTTGAACTATTCATAATTACAGATTTTAAGTTGTATACTTTTCTAAAGAATCAAATGGGGATTGTATCGTAGTTGAGTAGCCAGAAACACATATTCCAGCATACGAAGTTGCTTTTAACTTTTATTTATTACTTTCTTTTGAATAAAAAAATATGATGAATAAAACGGTATGCATACCTATTTTTATGACTATGAGCCCTCTGTTTGTCACACGACGTATGAATTTATCGCAGTCACACTGTGACTTTAGTAAGAAATGTCAGATTTGATTTAAGTGTGACCGAAATGTACACATTTTGTCTTGAATTATACATTCACTGTACTTATATTTAAAATGAATATAATAAATCAATTATATTTTTAACTCTGGCTTACCCATATCAATTTGTAAAAGATTCCAAACCAATGTAAACTACGTATTACATATAATAAAACCAATAGTTTTCTATTGCTATTATTTTTGGTTTTAACCAGAGGTTTTGTAAATGTATATGCTATATAAATATATATCTGCTTTTTTTGGCATGTATAACATAATACTTATAATGTGTTATTTTATTTTAAAGGTATCATTCTGATTTGTCATTTGTTGATTTATCTAATCAAATTGTAGATCATATTGAAGAAATTACACTCACCGATGACAAGGATAAAATTGTTGAAGAACTTACTATTATTACAAAGGATTATGGTAAAAACTTGCAACCAATTTTATCTACAGATTCGTCTCAACGTTTAGAGGAAAATGGCAACCGCGACGAAAATAGTTTGTAAGTTATTATAACTATGTGCAATTTTAATATTAAACTATAACATAGCATACTAAATTTAATTTGTTTTTTAAACAGTTTTGAAGATGTAAATAAATGTAATAAGGAACAGTTTTCTTCTGATCAGAGTTTAAAAAATATTGATAACGATTCAGTTGAAAATAAATTACCTTTGAACACTAGTACAGAAAAAAAGAAACTGTGAGCCAATATAATATAATTGTATTTTTTATTAATTATATTATAATTATAATAGTATTAATGCCTTATCATAAACGCTTCTAAATGTAAAGCTACCCTTAAAACTGATGAGCATTTTCTTTGACTTGATTAGCTCATCGTAATCTTATCATTTCCATGATAACGCTCCACATTGTGTATATAAATATTATTGTTAACCTTCTGCTCTCGATATGGGTCTAGTCTGACTTAGGCTCTAGTTTTTAAGTAAACCTAGTACCTACTATGTGTTTTCTTTGTCTATTATTCTGCGTGTTAAGAACATGTGTTTATGTAAAACACCGCCATTACCCGACGGTGAACAAGTATGGCGAGGTTATGAGGTGAAAACTGTTCGACTGGTTATGTTCTTAATGTGCAATGAGTATATATGCTCTTATTCAAATACTCCCAAATACAAAGTTCAACGCAAATTCATCTATAATTTTAACAGTCCATAATTTCTCCTTGTTTGTAACTACTATACACTAACAACTACAAGTGACAACTACAACTACTACACAGAACCAATTATTATATCTTCTCTAGAAGGTATTCTGGCCCTTTTACATTTCTACACCCTTTTTTTATTTCCTTCATTGCTTTATAGCTCATCAAATTATTGCTATGCTGTAATTATTATCTTTCGTATCAACTTTTTTAGTATTAATCTACCAACAATTTTTCTCAAATACTTTTTGGACTCATTTGCTACTATGTTCTAATCTGTTATTGATAACCCTTTTTTTTTACTCATTATCGCTTAACTTGGCTCAAAAATAATGTTGTGATTACTCTAAAAAAAAACGCTCTACAGTTTTTTTCCTTAATTTTTCCAATATTTTCTGATTATTTGTTTTAAAGAAAAATTCATGTTAGTACTGGAAATTTGGTTCAAATTTTGCATCACAGTTGTTGTTGATTTTTTATAAAAAATATGTTTGAGGAGTTGCATGTTTCCGAGACACTGAACATTTGTAGAAATAACTATCCTTTAACAAAATTAAAGAAGAAAAGTCTACGTTAATTGATTTACAAAACCAAAATTTCATCATTTAACTAGGGATCACGGCTTAGGACATTGAATTTTTGACTTATCCATATCACAGAATATTTTATAAATTGTTTTAAAATTTGTTGATCAATTTTTCTATGTCAGAATTATCAGTTTTGTTTAAAACCCTTTTGGTTTTTGTTTTGTTCAAAATTCTTCGAAAAATGTAATGGAATAGTTTTTTTTACAGTTTTACAACATGATTTTATTATAATTTAAAAAAAATTGTGGCTTGGTATTCCAGGTATCCCATTAACTTCATGCACAAGAGATTTCAAAATTTCTATACCCAAGATGCACGGATACTTAAATTTAAATTTTTTTTTTTTTATCGTTGATTTGTACTTACATTATATTTATATTTGCATTAAAAATAATATTAAAAAAAAAAAAAAAAATTAGTGGCAAAGTCTAGGAGTTACTGTATGTGGGATTAAGTATATCCCACCGCACATGCTGTGCACACAACATTCGCATCTCGTATTTTTTTTTCATATCAATATACTTTTATACCATTAATTATAAACATAACCTAATATGGAAACGAACAAAAAAAAAGAACATACAAATCGGTTGATTATTTCCCTCACAAATAACAAAATAAGTTTTGAAAATTTTCTGGGAAAAAAAATATGTGTGACAAATCGGCATTTCTTATTAATATTCTATAGACACACGGTCGTATGAAAAATGCTAAAAATAAACGAAAACGAGATAAATAAAATTTAGAAAAATAATATAATATGTGGTATATTATTTGTCCTACCATGCCGCAAAGGTGAATTTTTATGTGGGACAACTGTAATCCCACCATGGCGGAAAGAGTTAAGCTCACAATTTCAATTCCAAACAAACTTCTTTTTTTTTATTTACATAGTAGTATAATATGTTATTAAATTACATATTTATATGTTTTGTTTTATAGTGTAGATCGTTGTTTTGAAATATCAAATGGAGCAGATTTAGGACTTTACTGGTGGTCTCAAACTTATAATGATATTTGTATTAATGTAAATCATACAATATTTTTTATAAAATATTATAATTTTTGTTTATAACATTTAAAATTTTTTTTTTTTTAGATTGATGTGTCTGATTTAATTAAGAGTTCCAAAGATATCAATATCGATGTTACGTCACAGAATTTATTTGTTAAAATTAATCATCTAAATAGTTGGCGAACAATTATTCAAGATACATTTTATAAAACTATCAGTGATCATATTTGGACATTAACTCCAGAAAAACATATACAAGTACTGTTCCTTCCTTATAATATAAATATTTAATAAAACACAAATACAATTTATTTATTTTTTTAGATACATTTGGACAAGTTGGAGAATGAATTTTGGTCAAAATGTTTATCTAATGAAACAAGTACTGTCGATAAGAAAAATATAGATTCTCATATTCCATTTCATGAGTTACCAGAAAATGAACAAAATAAAATAAACGAAGTAGTAAATAAAAATAACACTAAGGAAGAAGATGTAAATGTAAGTCTGGACTCACAATCTCCCTAGTCATTTTTATAACATTTTGAGTAACTCATTAAAATCATTTAATTATCAAATCAAATCAAATTACTTCACATCATTTATTAGTTACATTTTATTATATTAAAAGTGGTTAGTCTTACTAACTACTATTAATGAAAAAGATGAAACTAAATTTCCCGGTGGTGAGTTCTACTAAATACCATGCCGCAAACAAATTTCTTGCTCATCGCTTTAGTCTCTAGTTACATCACTGCTTCCATTTTGATTAAAAAAACCAAAAGTAAATATTATAACTATAGTATATTAAACAATAAAATCAGATTTTTTTAATGAAAAAAATTATTTTTAGTACATTTTATTTAATAAATACAATTTTTAATTATTTAAGATATGACAAAATTAACTAAAAAAATTAAACTGTTAATATTATTTTTTATTTAGAATAAAATAAATTTTGTATTCATAAATAAAGTTTTGAAAATGAACTGTTAAACAAATTAATTAAATAATTAAAACTAATAAATTGTGACTATTCCAAAAAAATGAATTTATAATTGATAAAAACTGATTGTTAATAATTTAAAAATTAGCCTAGATAATATGTTATCTAAAATTAGAAATTACCAGATTATCTTTTATTTATCTAGTTACAAATAAAAAAATTATTTTATTTTGATTGCGAAAGAAATATATGAAAAATGATTTATTTATTTAAATTTTACCCTAAATTATTTATAATTTGGCCTTTCCATCTTGGACGTTTCAATTGTGTAATTTTTTTTTGTTTATTTTGTAATTTATACACATTTACACTTTCATAAATATATTCAAATGATTTCTCTATCTTTATTTAAAATTTATGATATTGTAAAATTATCCTAATTTGTCTAAATAAATTTTTTTATAATAATAATAATACAATAAACTAAATTAAATTATGATAAATATTAAATTACAATCATTTTTGTGATGAATTATTATATTAAATTATTAAATTTAATTGATCATTCTTTTAATGAGTGTAATACCCTTGTAATGCACTACTGATAATAGATTCTAGCATGGCTACGTTAGGTACATGGTTAATTCAAATATAGTTAGTAACATAGTAATTACAGATTATTTTAAGTATTAGTTAGTCTATAGTTATAAAATTATAATTAACCGAAAGTAATGTTGTATTTATTTTAATAAAAAATATAGGAGAACTTGGAAAAACTGAAGAAAGCATGGAATTTACCAGGATCCCCATTTGCTGGAACTCCCTTCAATCCTGATACTATCCAGTTTCCTTTTAAGAACCAATGATGTATTTAACTAACTAAACACGACATATTGTTAAAACTACTATTTGTGTGGCACAACATTGTTGTAAATTTACTAATATGAACATTTCTATATCATGTTATGTATAAGTATGCTGTATGATGGTTTAACAGGTTAATATTGCTTATTATTTTACACTAAAATTGTAGCCATTTTGTTATATTATATTAGTTCAGTACTACTTAAACTGACAGACATTGTATATTTTATTTATTTAGCACTTTGAAAATAATGTGTTTAACTTACCACTCGTCCTTTTTGGAAAAAAACTTTGTTCTCTAAAGTGTTAATGAAATGGACGATTTCATAGTCTGCAAACTGTTAATGTTATTATTTTTTTTTTCACATTAATGCCTCCTTAAAAAAATGACATAGTTTAATTTTAATGTATAAGCTTAGCATACGTCTATTAATATATTTTGGTATCTAATTCTTATAAAAAATATAACTGAACTAAACAAAATTGATTGTTATAATTATGGTTTTACTCAATAGCCTACAATTACAAATGGTCCAAAATTTGTAGAGAGAGTATTGACCAAAAACCAACGTGGGGCTAAAATTAATATTGTATCTACTTTTTAGAATTTAGATTCATTTTGAGATTGAAGCAAGATACTATTAATTTTTAAATGTCAAGTGTATCTTTTTCTTTTCGTACAATAGACGCTAGCAATTATATTCTAATCTTATCTGTCTTGTGCTATCCAAAACAGTTCAACCGTGGTTAATCTGGTCTTGCTGGGGTGATTCAGTAGGAGCTTGGAGCCCTAGCCCCTAGTTAGAGCGTTTCCTGAGGATGTATTTAAATAGGAATAATTATGATTAAATCAATATTAGAGGAAAGAAATTAAAACAATAGTATTATAACAGTCATTAAAGTGTAGAATAAGCTAATTCGCAAATCTAAAACAAAAATTAGTACAAATTTCACAAAGGCTGGATGAAGAAATTACTTTCAAATAATCGCTTCAATGGGTACTGTAGATAGTAAAAATATAAATATGTATTGATAAAAGCATTGTTAATATAATTAAATATTAAACTTAGCCTATAATTGTTTCATAATTAACACAAGTCAGCAGGCCATAATTAGCCAGTCACTAACATATACCTGGCTGGACACTGGCCAAATGTCAATGAAGGAGGGACAAATGACGCCACTGATGATTTACTATGATTCACAATACTGTAAAATAATGAACTTCATATCTTAAATTTTGAGCCATCACATTTATTTAATAATAATCAAATAAAGGTTATTAAAAATATATATAAACCTGATTCCTTAGGTGGTTCTAATAAATAACAAATTTTCTCGAAAGATAATAAATCCTGATCAGTTTGACAATGTTAGATTTTGAAATCCAACAGATAACAACAAGATAGCTATACAATTTCGATTATTGTTTGTAGTGATTTATTTGCTAATAAGTAACTAATTAGAGTGATTTATTTATTTATTAGCTAACATTATATTTTTGTATATATTAATATTTATAATAATATTATAAGTAAACATTACAATTAAGTATCTAAATTCGTGCTTATAAGTAATATTTATGAGCAATCTTATCAAATCAAATTCTATAGATAATAGATATTACCATGGTTTTTTTGATAATTGATACTACAGTCACAACAACTTTATAATAAATAATGATAAGAAAGATCATTTTGGATAATTTATTTTTTAATAAATTAATTTAATTTTCAGAAAAGGAATTTTCTCACACGGAATTCCATTAAGACAGTTTTTTTCATAATCACATACACTTTATTACCTGTTAAATATATTTATTACTTATTGTTAGAAAATTGTTGAAAATTGTGTACAATGACTAGCCCTCTAATTTATGGAGTCGAGTTTCAAGTAATATTTGTATTTTATTTCTGTAGTTAAAAATGTTTTTTACAACCATTACTTCATACTTTAGGCAAGATCATTGTGTTCTCAACATGCTGATGCGGAACAAGTTAGTTTTTTGATCGGTACACAATCGTTAAATACACCTAACAATCAAGTGCATTTAGTAAAATTACAAGAAGATTCTAATACTTTAACTTCACTGGTTAGTTATAATTTTATTTACTTCAAAATGGGATTATAAATAAAAACGTACGACTCTATTGGGTTGTAGGTATATGAGCACAGTTGTGGAGAAATATGGTCTCTAACCTCTTCGATTACCGACAAACAATTAATATGTACTTGCTATGCTGACATTGATAGCGATTGTGAAAAACGTACTACTTTATGGCGGTTAACGGAAACTGAAGGTCAATTAGAAAAGGTTGTGGATTTTCCTACTAAAAAGTATGGCTCTGATGTTAAGGTATAAATTAATTTGAATAATTTTTTAGTTTTCAATAATGTGTTTAAAAAAAAAAATAATATAACTTTGTCTTTATATTACATACACTTGAAAGGTGACAACTTTTCATCCGACTAATGAAGCTTACATGGCATCGGTTGTCGACAATAACGTAATTATGTGGGATGTTGGTGATAACGGAGTCAAAATTGTATGTAATGCAACGTTGGATGGTAAAGGTATGCTAAACAAAAATTAATTTTATAATGTCTTTCTTCGTTACAAATTTGAACTACATAAATTCTAACATTTATATAACAATAATTAACTTGTTTTTAGCCTGGGGCTAATCGAAAATTTGCTTTATACAAAATCAAATACCAAAATAAACCACGCTAGGCAACACTATCAGTATTTTTCATTTCAAATATTTGCGCTATTTCAAACCTATTTGAAGACTCAATAAATAATCATGCTTCACTATTATTAGCTATAGCTAACATATTTTTAAAAAAAATGTTTTATTAATATTTATTTTTTTTTAATAAATTCAGCTTGTATTAAGACATATTTTTATTTACAGGACAACCTCGTTTTGCCACTGGCAAATGGAATCCTCAAAGTGTTAACTTACAGTTTGTTACTGCCGATGATTGCAATATAAAAGCCTGGGACTTGCGATCTCAAGCCAGAATAGCTTGGGCTTTAGACGGAGCTCATAATCAAATTATTAGGTAATGTAAGTTTTGTATTTTTAATAATGTCAAAGCGTTAAATCATATTTGTTAAACAATCGGTTTTCTATCATGTAGAGATTTTGATTTTAATCCAAATCGCCATTACATTATGGCCACTTGTGGAGATGACGGATATTCCAAATTTTGGGACGTACGTAATACAAACCAACCAATAATTACTCGTGCTGATCATTCTCATTGGATTTGGTCTCTTAGGTTTGTAATTTGCTGATAATAAATGGTACCAAAATATTTTATAACTTTTACTTAAAGTGAATTTGTCTTAATGATTTTTTTAATGAAGGTATAATCCTGTGCACGATGAACTTATTGGAACGGCGTCTAGTGACGGTCAAGTATTGATAACTCGCTTATTTGGTATATCTTCTTCTGCTGTTGAAAACGAAGATATCAAATTAAAAACGTCTGTTGAAGACAAAGTAATAGCGATTTGTGATCAGCACGAAGATTCTGTGTACTGTGTCGAATGGTCTACTGCCAATTCGTGGATATTAGCTTCTCTAAGTTATGATGGACGGTTATTGCTTAACAAAGTACCAAAAAAAGAACAACTGAAAATCCTATTATAAAAATTGCAACACTATTTAAAAACAGTTTTATATGAATATTTAAAGAAGGGATTGAAAATGTTACAAAGTCAAAATTTACATTATTTGTTGTAACTACAACATATTATTATAAATGTTTCATTTGAGTAAACATAGTTTATAATGTGTTCAGAAATGAAAAACTTAACTTTAAAATGTTTTTAATTGACTATTTTTTACAATACTATAATCAGTTAAGTTATTAGAATAATTTATTAATAATTTTAATCAAAACTAGTTGAATTGAATGTAGTTATAACAAATAGTGTAAATTTAGCTGGGTAGTGCTTTTAATCCCTGGTCTGAAGAATATTTATTTCATTTATTAAAAATAAATACTGTATGTATTGTGTACATTATTAAGTTTTATAAAATTATGTTAAAATTTTTATCGTTTAATTTATACATTTCATGTTAAATTTATTTGTTTTGTGTTACATTAAATTATTTGATATTGAAATACTGAAGATTCTTAAGAGTCTGAGTCCTAAAAAATCTATTGTTTGCCTTGTCATGTCCGGACATGTGGAACTGCTACAAGCATGTTGTTAAGAACCAGTCTGTTGTACTGGTAAAATTATTTGTACTTTACTCAAATTTCATATTATGTGGCTACACGATAGTGGATACACCCACTTAAGTCGTAGCTGCCAACCACTTATGATATCTGATTGATAGGGATATTGATCCGATGATCAAATGTTTATAGTTAGGCCCAACTATTAAAAATAATTATTTTGCACAGGTAAAAAAAAAAAAGGAAACATAACGGTGTTAGAGAAATCAAAGAAATTTTTACAACTGAAAGTGGTAAAAATCACTTTAAAAAAATGAATTGGTGCGGAACAATAGATTGTAAAAACTGTTAAATTTAAGCATGAAATATTTACTGACAATAAATTATTTATTTAAAATTTATACATAGTTAAGTTTTTTTGTTTTCTTCAATAAAAAAAAAAAGATGATTGTAGTTAAAGTGTTAGGCAAGTAACGTTATTACTTTATACCTAAATTCTGTGGAAACTAAGAGTTTTGAAAGGGTCTGAATTTGTAATAGCTCTGACGTCACTGTGTTGGTTTTTTAATATCTACTGATATCCATATCTACATACCCTTTACGCACCTGAACCTGTATGAATACAATTAAGCACTATAACCTATTGATTCATAGATGAGTGCAATATGTATACATATTTTTTAGTATTTCAATTTTTATCGCCCCTCTAATAAGTTTAGCAGAGCTTGTGTGAAGTATCAGTGGCGTAGTTACGGGGGGGGGGGATTAGGGTGTCGTATCCCCCCCCATGACCTTTTTTTTTTACTGGCCATAGGCTCAACAAAATATTTATGTACTTATTTAACATTATTATAGTAAAACCCCGAATCTCCTATGTACTCCTATCTCCTATAGTTTATAAATATAACTAAAATAATAGCAGTCGATTGAGTTTTTTTTATTGCGGAGCGACGATGCACATCAACAATGTCGTCGTATAATGTACGTCAATAATCCAACAATATTATACTTGTGTAAATGCTCTGAAAATAACTGATGGATTTATACACGTTATCGGAATTTTCCTAACAACTTTTTGTCTCATTCGATAAACGGTATGTGGGCATTAAGATTAAGCATGTGGTCAGTGGTAACAAATTACAATCAGCAGTGTGAGCAACTGGATAATAGTTGACAACAGTTTTCACTATATTATGTATACTGTATAGTGTATTAAAATATAGTTGTGAATTGTGATACGTGAATCATAGTAAGTCAACTAGGTACACGATTTTAGACTTAAGTTATTTTATTATATAGTTGTGTCATAGAGAAGACAATTTTTTTTATAAGTCTAAAAATGGAAGGAAAAAGAAAAAAATGTAAAAATACTAGAAGTACACTTTTTTCATATTTTTCAAAAAAAATCGTTCTATTGAAAATAAAGAAGATTGTAATGAGGTAAGTATCTTTATCGTTTTATATTTTGTTTCATCACTCCAATTTTTGGTAATTTGGTTTATTTTGTAAAACAAGCAATATAAAAGCAATACGAAATTGTTTAGGTATTGTTGAAAAATTATACAATTTTTTCAATACTCCCAAACGAAATCATGTGTTATTATCTACTATCGAAAACAGTAATGTTGATCAAAAAATAAAAACATTAAAAAGGCTATTTGCAACTCGATAGGTGCAAAGATACGATGCGATTCATGATTTCATTGAGCTTTTTAAGTTTGTAGTAGAAGCTTTAGAATGAATATCAGATTGGAAGGATTCGTCTGCTACGGATGCATCAATAATTCTAAAATCAATGGACTCTGAATTCCTAATTTCAGTTAATATTGTTCAGGTAAAAACAAAATTTTTAATTAAAAAGAAGGTATCTTAAGTCTATTGCAATTACCTGATGTATTTTTTAGCTAATGTTTTCATTTGGCTTACCGTTATGTAAATAATTACAAAAAACCAAAATTGACTTAAAAGAAGCCATTGATCTCGCACAAGATACTATCAATGAGTTATGTACATTATTGTTAGTTACATACTGTTATGTTTATTACAAAAAAAGAGCTATGTACATTATATTATATTATATTACAAACAAAATAAATGTACTTGAAAATTAAGTAGTTTGTATTTTTGTGTGTACAAAAATGTCTATCCCCCCCTAAGACAAATTCCTAATTACGCCACTGTGAAGTATCGACAAAGAATTTCAGAATTATAAGGTACTAAAATTGAGAGATCACATGTGATGATGTGATTAGGTACATATTTATTATGTCTTTTTTCAGTTTTTACTTACCTAGGTACCTAGCCGAATAATAGATTTGTTTTAGATACAAATTATAAAAAGCACTTACCTAAATAGATATATGAGGGTCGGGAACCATTTATAGTGTTCTTGTCTGGGGTTTCAAAAATTCTAGCTGCACCACTGATGTTCAAAATTTTAATCCTTTATACATATTTTTGTATTACCTTAAAAGCTTCAAGTGATGAAAATTACCTATCTCGCTTTAATGCATTTTTTATACATATTATGTACATCCATAAGACATCATTCGTTGGCAGTTGAATTATTTATGCTAGCCGAAGGAATTATTCATTAGGTTAATGGAACTTCTTAGCTAAACATTGATCAAAATCGTCTACCCTCATTATCTTGCCCTGTGTAGATATTATCTCGTCAGTTATTTAAGTTTTCCACGTAGATTTTCAACCCTTTCAAATAGTACAGAGTGAATAGACACTAAAATATACAGTAAATCATATATAAAATTCAATTTAATTTAAACACGTGAATATTATTTAGCGGAACAATTATAATACAAAAGGGAGATCTAAAAACATACTTTTATGTCAAGTTTATAAAAGTCATTTAAACATAGTAATATACAGGTAGTCAAAAAAAAAAATTTATACCTAAATTAAAAAACTACAAACGAGGTATTTAAATACATAAATATACACGAATATATATATATATATATATATATATATATATATATAATCAGAAAGCTATAAAAATTAAAATACACAAAAGATTAAAGAATAACGCTTTTAATACATTTTACTGAGACCAATTCAGCGAAAAGTCGCTATAGTCGCTGGAAGACTCGACGGCGATACCGGCGCAATAAGGGTCCATGTAATAGTCATTATTGTTGTTGTTTAACATTTTCGAGGGATCCAACACCATGAAGTCAACAGACGCGTCGGTCAGCGCGTCGGCGTTTGCCCCGATGAAGTCGATTGGGCTGGCCAAACCGACATCATCGGCACCGCCCTTGGATGATGGTTCCGGTACCGCGGCATAGTAGTCCATCTCCTGCGACACGGGGTACATGAGGTCCAAGGATTCGTGGCCGATGCCACCGCCGCCGTCACTGCTCGAAATGCTGGTATCTTCTGTCTTGATCACGTACTGCTGGTCGTGATGGTCGAATTGGTTATGATGGTGATGGTGATGGTGGTGATGGTGGTGACGGTAATCGTTGTCAGCCGGCTGATAACACTGGTATTGCTGGCTGTAGTGCTGCCATCCGGCAGAATCGTCACAGTGCGACGACGGCACGGGGACGGGGCTCTTGTTGTGGTGTATTGTGCCGCTGCCCAGGTCCAGCATAGTGGTAGGTGACTTGTTGGTGTACGACGACGGGTCGTGGCCGTCTTGGAACACATCGTTGGCCAGAGCGGCGCACGGCTGTGGCTGACCGAACGCCTCGGGACCCAAAGCGGCAGCAAAATCGTCGATGGGCGACGGGTCGGCGGGCGGCGGTAAATGGGTGAATTGTTGCATACCCGACGACCAGATGTCGCCGCCAAAAGCGTACGGTTGCGGCATCCCCGTGTCGGCGGTCGTTGCGGGTAGCTCGAGGCGGTTACAAACACAGCAGTGTGGTAAACACGAACAGTTAGGGTCTGGAAAACAAAACATAATGGTTAAAATTCGTTTTTCAATAGTGGCAAAATAGGTATGCGATTATTAGAATTGACTATTTTAGCTGAGCAAGTTTGTCGAGTAACTGAAATAATTAAACATTATTGTAATCTGATTTTAAAGCAAAACAATGATCTTAATATTTCCACCGAAAAAATATCAGAGCTATACACAAATTAAAAGGCGATCGACCGTTCTAGCCTCATAACACTCATTTTGGATACAATTTAGGTACTTGCGGTATTTATCTGAATAAAAAATATTTGTTGGAAAATCGATTAAAACTAAATGAAAAATTTTAATTTTGTATTTTTTTTTCGTTCAGAATTTTATTTCTACTATTTTTTATTAATTTTTTTTTAAACTGGTAATAATTAAATAGGAAATAGAAAATCAAGTGAACCAAGTAGAAAAGTCAGTGAACCAATTTAATATATTTTTATTTGGATTACACCTAATTTGGCTTGGAAGTAACTATTTGGATACTTCTTAAGTCTAATAGTTGATTCTTATATCTTGTGATAGGAGCTGAAAAATGTTTTTTTTTTAATTTAAATATGTTCAAAAATTATTAAAAATAAAAAAATCACCATATAAAACGGTAATAATTATTATTTTAGTGGTATACCAAAAAGAAAAAAATATGATTCTTTTTGCAGAAATATTGATTAAAATTTTTAATTGATAAATAATTTTTAAATATAATTAAGAAATATTTTTTGGTTTATATTTTAATGAGAATTCCTATCTTGTAACTTTAATATTTATAACGAGACATTTAATGATGTTATAACTTATTTACATTTTACTTATAAGTTATAACTGAAAGACATTATTTGAGTTTTAATTAGGTATATAGACTTACTTATATTTTGATTATCAGGAACTACTTGGGCGGGTTGAACACTTAAATAGTTCTTACGAGTGTTTACTGACTTTTGTTTCCTTGAAGTTGAAGTCTGAAATAAAATTTAAAATGTATAATACAATTCACATAAGTTTTTAAAAAACCAATTTTTATAATTATTTTGAATGGTTACAATTTATTAAATTATAAAGAATGCGTTAATGGCTAATATTAATTTATTTTGGAAATAGTAATTATAAAATCAATACTTAAACAAGTATTATATTTTTTCTTGTTTGTAAGATTGTAGGTTATTTTTACATACTATATACACATTTTTTAATTAGATTGTTAAACGCTATAATCGAAAATTCTATAATTACACTAGCCATCATAGGACGAAGGTTATCGTTGTTTTTTTTTTCTAATCAATAGTTATTAATATCAAGATTAAACTTATTATGTAAATCAAAATTTTTAAAAAACCTATTCTTATAATGCTTAATTATGCATTTTTACTTTAAAGTCGGTTGAATGATACCATTGTTCTTAAACTAAATATATTATCATTTATGTACATAATTGTCCATTAATTGGACATTTATGTCCATAAAATTGGGTTCTTAGTTTCTACCTAGTTGAATAAAATATAAGGCGCTCCGTTTGCTGGGCGAGCAATCGTTCGGTGAAAAGGAACCGCCAAGCGAATTCGTCAAGAAACCATCTCATGATGGCAGCGTTGGGCCTTCATGGCCCGTTAAGCTACATGATGATGAATAAAATATAAAATATTTTAACTTAGATGCGGAGCTTAAAAATTGTTTTAATTTGATTATACGTTTGTACATACTATTTATTTTACACACAGTAGATTTAAAACCACAAGACGTGGTAAATTTTGCGTGAAACAAATAATATCATAGAGTACTTTACATATTATAATTTTTTAATTATAAAATAACTAAATACTATCAATTGTTTGAAATCGTACACTTAAATAGTGACTAAAGATGGACCATAAATAATTAAAAGCTATAATTTATTCATTGACAAATAAAGTAAATAAAGCGCGTTATTTATAACTATATAATTTGAACGATCGAAATCTAGATTTTGAAATATGTGAAAATCGTGTTCAATATAATTGTAATATATCAACGAACCTGTCGTGCACATAATGCCTTAGGTTTAATTTATATACCTAGTGATCAGCAGAGAAATCTGAGACTTTTTGTTTACAACTTGACCTACAAATTACAATTTATAAGTATGTTATACTATAGTATTTATGCTATATTGTCCGTGTAGAAAACAGCTCTACAGTCATTCATATTCATAATATAATATTATATATTTTATGATTCATGGGCAACCGACTAGGCGGTTTTTGAGTGTGTGCCACAGAGCGTTTATTATCAATGAAAACCTACAATTAAAGGTATTAATTTTTCCCGAAGACAATGCAAAACCGATTTAATAATTATAATCTGTATAGTATATTTGTGGCTCGGGTAGGGCTAAACAACTAGATATTAATTATACGTATATACTATAGTCGTTTAATTTATATGTTTCCATGTAAAATACATATTATTATAATATTTAACATCTCAGTCCTCCTTGCTCAACACAATTAAGCGTATTTATAAATGGAGTTATTAATTTTTAACTAATTCGAATCGTATACAATAACTGGCGACTGATGTATACTGACGATTAGGTCGTTATTAGTTCAATTTAAATAGCACATAATATCTGTAACAACTGTGAATAAGTGTGTAAGTCGATTCCAGTGATTTTACAGGGGAGCGATTTTAAACTTTAACCAGCTGCCATAAATCAGGATTTCATTAAAAACATTACATTTTTTTATGATCCTCTTATATTGATAAATATCTTAGAGGTACTCAAGTGGTTTATTTCAAACTTGAAATTGCTCAAAAAAAAAAAACCTGTAAAATCACTGAAATCGACTTACACCACACTTATTCACAGTTGTTATAGACATAATCGCAATAAAATCATTCAAAGTATTCAAGCAACCCAATGATATTCAACAGGTCTGGTCTAAAATGATAACGTATGGTTATAATAATTGTGTGTTTTAATTAGTATTTTTTTTATTCGCATTTTAAAGAATATAATATTTTGCACTAACATTTTGCTGTAAGCAAATAATTAGGTTTAATCACTTTTGAAACTTGTTTTACCGTAACTGTAGCGTTGGTTCATGGTGTAGTACGGTATTTACATTTAAGAGGTTTTGTAACTGTAATATTATATAGGGCTAAGTGGGTGTATCAAAAAGTTTAACGGCCGAAAACGATTAAAAGGATTCGGCTTCCGAAAATCGTTCATTCTGCGCACTTTTCAATTCTCACTAGTTTATAACGTTGGCATAAGTGTGTTATAATTTTAAGTGATTGTAAGATGTAACGCTTACAACAATAATCGTGTTACGACAAACGCCATGGAGGGTATGATAATTATAAACAACGACATAATACTTATACAAGTATAAACTTTGTACCGTATAATATGTACATGTAATATGTGCTACACTTTTAAACAAAAATCGACCTGTACTCCTTCTACACTGGTTTTGCATATGCTCGTAAAACTTCGAATAAACCGTACAAAAAGCTTAATAATAACATGAGCTTATTCCGGTCCGATAATGGCGAGCTGTGTCGATTACTTACACAGAAAAAACAAACAAGGTAACCCCCTTTGCGGTAGACTACAGCGACTGGCGATTAAACGTGTGAGATGTTAAGTTTTACATAACAAAATGTGTTGACGGTTATAAGCGTTAGTAAATTAAAAAAACAAAGTTATTTGTTTAAGTTTTTTTTCTTTCAAAAATAGACTTTTGGTATTTTGTAAGCTAATGATTTATTTACAAAAAAAAACAGAACTTAAAAATGTGAATAACCAGCATAGAAGATATTTTTTAAGATGTTTATATTACATTCGTGGACTTTTATATTCTTTTATGTTAATGCATGTTTATTGTTGTGTGCATTTTCGTGTAACATATCACGTCATATAGAGTACTTAAATTGTATGCATTAAAAGTGTATTAGGTATAGCATTATATTTTTTATTGTGTAAACTTTAACTCTATGACTAATGATTTTATGTTATTTAAGTGAATTTTTTTTCTAGTCCCTCTCCCTATTTATTTTCATACCTTATTATGACATTATATACAAATATATATATCATATAATAGTATGTATCTACTAATCGATGTATCTGTTGTAGTTTCAAGAAGTAAATCAAATAAATTGGAATAAAAAATCGCGTAACAACGTTCTGTTCACAATAGGTAAGCGTGCTGTAATTGACAAACAAGTGTATCAATTCGTTTAGTGTGTTTTCTCTTTCGAAAATAAAAGCGAGAATTTTGATCGTACAAAGTACTTTTGGCGTTAGATCAAAGTACCTATAGACTATTTTTATTAAAAAATCGGCACAGGGGTTAAAAAGTTATCGTGGGTCTGGACACAAAAAAATAATAAAATCACTCAATGAAAATAAAAATCATTATCGAACCTATAGACATTTTACTAAATGGACCGTGCAAGGAAAACAAATTATTTTAGCAAGATGTGTGTGATAGAGACAGATCAAGTTAGGGAATGTCCTAACCAGTTCGGCTAAATTAGCTCTGTCTCTCTCCCATATCATTTATAATGTGATTCATCGTTATACATTGTCATTTGTCTATGATCGAAATTCGAACCTCAGTACCTTTTCAGTTCCATATCGAAACGGTTAATAAAAAATATAATAGTAATAATGCCCGTTAAAAAAAAAAGGAATATTATTCCAACGTTCGTCTTGTTTGTTACAAGATAATGATTTTATGTTTTAACCTCAAGACAGTCAACAGATACAAGAATATTCAACTACGGTTTAATAAAAAAAATGTATGAATTATTTACTCCTGTAGTGTACAGATGAGTATCGACGTTCCATGATAATTTTACAACTACAAAATGTATATGTTCGGTCGTACCATCGATACTAACATTGTTTGTCAATAAAGTAATAGGTACAGTGAATATACATATAGACAGTACACAGGTACAATATAAAACTGTTGTGTTGTTTCCCGTATTATTATAATAATTTGTTTTATTGCCTCGCGGCATTTGAATCGTGTGTGTGTTGATGTCCACCGGGCGTTACATTGATGAACGATTTTGATATATTTAATAATTAATAATATATTATTCCTGTAGAGGGATTCATAGTGTACGGTATAAGTACTGTTATAGCAATGTCGCAGTAGTACCTATTAGCATGGACGCGCCATGACTTATAATACTCATGCAATTTCTTATTACACATATTATATAAATAAATAGGTACATCGATCAATTTTACCGTAAATATAAATCTAAATTAGCTTTGTTGGTCAGCTTTTCCAGTGAACAGCGTCGTCTGTTCGATTAAGTAAGTTAAACTTGTATTTTTTTTTAAGGAATTCTTTTTTCTCCCTCAAATATATTGATTGTATATTGTTTTTTTTTTTAATAAAAAGAGTTCGTGCTAGCGGCGGGAATTATTTGAGAGTTAGAACAGTTATTACCTATTCGATTAACTGAATTAAAATAACGTTAGATAAACCTAATTGAAGATAATTCTAAAGACAACATAAAAATGATCAAAATTTCAATTTTAAATCAGTAGTAAGTATTTTTTATTATACCTATAGCTTTTTTCAAAATTATTTTATACATATTTGAGATTACTGTTAGTACCAAATTTGTTGTCAATACTTTTTCAGAATAACGTCTTTGTATTAAGTTTAAATTAAATATTCATTATATTACATATTTGCATATATTGCATTTACAATAAAAAAAATCTATACTCAATCTTTTGACAGGTTATAGCGGTAATTAGTAAAGTGGTTGTAGTTAAATAAGTATCAAAGAAAACAATATTAAAATCTATACGATACAAAAATTAGTTGTTCTTTTATTATTACTATAATAATTACTCTTTCTTTCTGAGAATCGTCGCAATTTGATTTTACTATGGTGTTTTTCTTTGTGCGCCTAACTTAACAGGTACTTAGACATTTTGTTGGCTGTGTAATTTTCACGATATATTAACATTGAACGTTTTTAGCCAAAGTAGGTAGCAAGCCACTGATATAATTTCCACACCACATGGTACCTACTCTATTAATTGACTTCTCGGTGAAATTATTTTTATTTCAAGTATTTAGTAGAAGTGGGAATGTCTGTCTTGGATGTTTTTGTACACTGTATTAGATAAAAAACAAAAATTGTTATCTATATCTAAGCAACTATCGTTACCATTCAATTTATTTTAACAATAAAACTAGTAATTATATTATACTAAACTTAAGCTTTTTATAGTTGTACATATATTTAAAATTTGTTATTTTATTTTTAAGACAATTTTTTTCATCTTACCTTGCCGTTGTTGAATGAAACATCTCTTGACACTAACATACCAAAGTTCCTGATTTTTAAACTTCTCCGGGCTTCTGAAGTTGATTTGGCTTCCGGCCTTAAATGATCATGCACACCTTTTGCTTGAAAAAAAATGGCATGTTCGGTGTGTCTCCAGAAATGAGTGACCGGGTAGCCACAGTGTCCACGACAGGGCATTATTTCCAAGTGCCCACTGCATTGGCGGTTTGGACAGGGTTTACCTACAAATCCAACCACAAAAATTATTATTATTTTCTATGTTAGGTAATTTAAATACATATGACATAGTACTATACTACACACTATGCAATTCTCTTAGGTACTATAATTATACTCATTATGTTATATCACATATTATCTTAATTCTCACATGTTATTTCATACCATACGAAAACTATTATCAGGTAACATAAAACATGACAATAATAATAATTAAAATAAAATATTCATAACATGCATTGGAATATAAAATGTGTAGGTATAAAACAATTTTCGATCTTCAAAAAAAAATTTGGCGGAAATCGGACGAGTCCATTGGTGTGGTTTATTTTTAATGTAAGAGCATTTGTATAAGAAATATTTTTATATTGTTTTTAAAAATAATATAAAAATCTTTGTTGTCTGAGCTAACCTGTTTAGATTAATTGTTTTAATATGTTTGCCAGTTCACAATAATATTATGAGTTAAAATGTTTATTGTTTTTAAATGTATGAAACATACCTTGTTGCTTTTTCCTGGCCTTGTCGCATATGGCTGGTCTTAGGTGGACTGTATCGCCATTTGGTAGTACGCACCTTCTAGAACACAGGAGGACACCTAGACAAGATTTCTTCAAGATGTGCACATTGTGATTGTTTGTATTCCTCATTGCCCATCCAGAAGCGTGTCTCTTGGCCTCCTCACAATTCGACGGGTACACCAGGCGACAATGGCCATCAGCCCATTCTTCCCAGTGATTGAAACTGCTCACCTTTAAAATAATACAATATATTTTTTAATATAGCTAAGCATTTGACTGTTATATATTCTTTCATAGAATGTTTTATTAATGTATATTTTGTTTTATACCTACACGCAATTTCCAGTTCCTTTATTTCCGTTAATATAGTTTTTTACTTTTTATTATTTATTTTAATTAAAAAAAGAAAAATTGTAAAAGTCGGTATTGTCGCGATTATATTTAATTTATATCCGTGTATAAGCGTTATAATTGTGGATAGAATTTCTTATTAATTACATAAGTATATAGTTTAAATATTAAGCTAAATATAAAAAATACAAACAAAAAATATCCACCATCAAAACCCTCTAATCTCAGTCGTCATCTCGCATAAACCGAATCTTATAAATAACAAATACGAAACAAATTTAAGTTAAGAATTCATGCCGCTGGGTAATCTTCTCAATTCAAAAACTTTTAATTATTGCATTTGTTGCATTAAAAAAATGCAGATTGTATAAATGTGTTAAGGAAAGTAGAAAACATTTCAAAAATTATTAGTTTTGTTGGAAAAACGGATGATGTATGTCGTAAGATAGCATATAAGATAATAATATATGAAAATAATATATTTTTGTAAAAATAAGCTATCAGCCAAATTATTTTGCCTGAACTGAGAAAAAATAATTATACCTAAAAAATATACCTATTTTTTAAAAAAATTATCATACAAATTTGCTAAGATTTTCTTTTAGTAAGTTTTAACATACTAAACATGTATCCTTATATTTTAAAATTTCTCCTAAAGCTCTACTTTTATCATTATAAATTAATTAATTAATGTTAACGATTTTTTTTCTTGGTAAAAAATTGACTAAGATAAAAAGTTTAACTTTTTGGTTTCCAATTAAATTAATTGACAGTAACAATCGTTTATTGGTTTCTATAATAAGTAGGTACAATACCTAATAATATATAATAATGTATACTGTATTTTATAGGTAATAATAAATTATTGTTGTTCACAATACAATAAGAAGTTAAAACGAGCGTGTACAATAATAATAACAGTAGATTTTTATTGTGACAAAAAATAGATAATGAACCGAATAGCTTACAGCATTGAGTATATATTGTATACATTGAATATATACTCAATACTTAAAAGTTACAGGCAGTATAAAAACCCTAATTAATCCGAGTTAAGCAGCGTTATGAAATATGATTATTAAAACGTATATAATATGGTACTTTACCTTTGGTATAATTGAGTCGTTGATATCCCAGTCGGCGATGCGAGAAATAGATTCTGTCGGTGGTCGACCACGAGAGTAACTGTATTCATTACTCATACTATGATCATCGTATTCTTGTTTGCTAAACAAAAAATGTATTAATGTTCATTAGTTCATTGATAAAAATTAGTCGATTTAAACTAAATAATACAATTTTTGTTTCGCAACAATAATAATATTCAGTGCTGCTGTAAATAATGCCCATTATTCTCAAAATTTTTTATAAAAATAATACAGGGTGATTTAATAAAGGATAAGACACTGATTTTCTCTTAAAATAATTGCAATTTTGTAGTTTTTCTTTTCTTTTATGCTATTTTACAATAATATACAATTTTCGATTTTTTCTTTCTTAGTATTCTCCAGACATTGATTAACTTCTGAAACTATTGGTAACTTATACATATACATATTCATTAAACTTTAAAAGTAATTATCTTAAACTGGTTAACGACCAATCAAATTTGTATTGCAATTAATCTTAGTTTAAAATGTTCATTAAATATAGACGTTACCACTAAGTCTAAAAAGTTGTTTAAGCTCTGGGAAATACTAAAATATTAAGTTATTTTATAATATTGTAAAATAACACAAACAAAAATTACAAAATAGCAACTCTTAAGAAAATTTTAAGTGGAAATGCGTATCTCATTTGAATCACTATAAAACATATAGAGTATCTACCGATATGTTAAAAAATTAAAAAATATTTTTTATGATAACCCAACTATTGACTATTGAAACAATGATATAGGTTTTTAATTTGTTAGTTTTACGGAAGTTTTAGTATAAAATATTAAATGCGTTAAATTAGTCTACAAGCTGAATTTATATGAAAACTAATAGAAATTAATGACCTACAATTGTCCAACTAATAGAGATTGGTAGGCAATTGTTTTTCCTATTCTCCGGTGAGTTTTACCGTTTATTTAAAAGTTATGTATATTTAATTCGTCGGTTTTTAGGAGTGTTTTAAGTGTAGATAGTAAGTAATACTATGTTATTATAAGAAGAACGACTATTCGAGTAATGTTAACTATTTAATACAAGCAGGTATATTTTTGGTTACGGATGTGCAGCACGTCTACTACATGTAACATCTACTAAAACGAAGTTATCAAAATCACAAAAATAAATTTACGTAGGTACAGACAAGTGAACGGCCGACAATAGACGCCATAGACTATTACAACTATTATATATATTACTAATAGTTAAAAAAAAGTTCCACATTTTTTATAGTTAAAAAACAAATTGGGCATAAAATAATATGCTTTTATTAAGTTAAGCTCTAAGTGAAATTTGTATGCGCTTTACCTACTTTGGAATTTTGTATTTGATTTAAATAACCTTGATTACCTAACGATTATTATTTTTTGGATAAGCTTTTATATCAGTGCGCTCAACAGATTTTCCGCTATTACATAAACTTTAAAATGCTAATAAATACAAAAACAATAAATAAAAATGTCAAAACTAATTATTATGGATCAGTCAACATGTTTAGTCAATTTTTTTTGATTGATTGATAAACGTCAACACCATAAGTAATGCATGTTAACAATACTATTTATATTTTTAGAGTTTTGAGTTTTAAAAAGTATTACTTTAGTTTAATGGACCACAAATTGTATTGATGTTTAACATCAGAATATAGGTAGCTACAATTAGTAATTCATAGCATTTCAGTTAAACTACTATTTTTAATTCTCTTTGAGTTCTTATTAAGCTACGAAAATATGTTCAAATGAGTTTAAATCCTTCAATTATAATTTATAATATATTATATTTACCCCTTCGTGTTGGGCCTGTCGAGACATCTCTTAATTGTGCCAGACTAGCGACGGTATATTTTATATACAATTAAAAGACACACACGACAAAATTTACGAGGAAATTATACCTACCTACCTCTATTTATTGTGAGGATTTGTAAAGACAATTTTTTCGGAAAATCTGAATTTAAAGCAATAATTGTGTGCATAATATATCACGAGAATTCTTTATTAGTAGTTATTTCTTTATTATATCGTTACAGCTTACATTGAAAACGTTTTTACTACATTTCTAATAAGGTAGAAAATATAATATAATATTTAGTTCCACAGAATGCATTTTACTCGGATCAAGTTAATTATAGAGAAAAAAACAAAACCGAGAGATTAATACATTTGTTCAAATCCTTTAATATATTCAATATTTGGTTTATTGTCAATGTTGTTTTTACTTGAATTCAAAATTTTGTCGTTTACTTCAAAAATTCATATGCACTCTTTCTAAAATCGGTGATTTGGTTCTAACTCTATACCTATAATGGAACAAGCAAAACGGCTTAAGAACAGTCAAGTTTTTATGCTAGAAAATTGGGGTTGAAAAAATTACCTTTTAGAATTCTTTTTTACCTAAGTACAAATTACAACGGCCGGCAGTAAGCGTACCTAGTAATATAAAATTAAAATTATAAAGATACTGTGCAAGCCGATAGGACAACAGTCCGGCAGACGGCAATGAACGATTACGAGATAACTACAATTATTATGCGCTATTTGTAAAATAATTATTATTATAAATTTTCGATACAGCAGTAGTCATGTTATTATAATGTATACATTTTATACTTACAACATAACGACCATGTCGGAACACTTTTGACTGAATTCTCTTTTGCGTTCACTTTGTGTATAGCTACTATAACCGAAAGTTAGCTGGTAGGGTGTATATAGTAGTATAATACCTAGGCGGTACCTACACTAAACGGTTATAACGAAGAGTTTGATGAACGAGAAGATGAGAGAACGTGCGAGACGGACGAGCAACGACTAGGGTCGAGTAGCAAACAGTCACTGCCGGGCGCCGGCTGCTGGCTTGTTAGGCAGTCCTGTGCCGGCGGGTTCGCGTTGCCGGGGCCGACCTCGATCGACCAATGAGAAGTCAAGCCAAACCCACTGAAACGTTTACATTAAAAAAAAAAAAAAATTTAAAAAAAAACCCCTCACAACGAGAAAAACGGCAGTCCTTCCGTTCCGCTGTACAATGTACAATATACCTATGTACTGTGTACATTACAACCGTACACATCATATTGTTATTACTTTAGTATGGTATATACCTATGATTGTGTACTATAACTGTTACTCTTATTGTCATCACCGCCGGCAAACCGGTAACTGCGGTAACCCCTCCAAACGATTGCCCGCCCTCGCATTATTTACGACCCGAGTGTATCTGCTCTTATCTAAGTACCTAGGTATTCTATATCTTTAACGCTTATAATAATATAATCTTCCAAGACGTCGTGATATCATAAATAACGGGGATGTGCACTTATCATAGCTGGTATATTATAATAATACCTATAAGTATAGGTACTGTGGGTAGCGATTATGAGTTCATACGAAAATCATTTTGGTAGGTAGGTACACATGTTTTCGTTGTCTTCTCGGTAGGTACTCAACCTTATTTAATGATTTATTAGTAATTAACTCGGATAATTATTTTACTGACTAAGCAATCAATTTATCTGATTTATCTGACTAAGTAATTAAACGATCAAATAGGGAATGTTGTTTATACCCCAAACGATAATCAATACCGCGATATTTTAATAATAAATTAGCATAATCATTACAATAATAAAATAACGGCTAAATTAAGAAGAGTCGGCATGATAACATATTAACTTTGGTGACGCTTACATTCGAAATTATGTTAATATACGTATAACTAACGCGTAGGTAGGTAGGTACATAAACTAATACACAAAATATAGTGTACCTATTATAATATAATTTCAAATCTCATAAAACTGACCAATTCAATTGTTTAAATTAATTAAAGTGATTATAATTATGGAAGAATAAAATTACAATACAAATTATATAAAACATTTATACTGAAATATGTTATAGTGATATAAACATTTATAGTAACCATATCGAATTGTCATCACACATAAGTCTTTAGATATAGAAAAATGGAATTTATAGATAACTAATACGATATTTATCGTCTTTCATCTCATCCCTTATATCTCACATTTGCATAACAAAATACGTAGAATTAAAAATAACTGTTGCGATATTTTAGTGCTTACAATGCCCCAGTTATAGCCTATATTAAAATGTAGGTTATGAGCCTACGGGGTTGGTCTTCCAGGTAAGGTTCTCTCAAAAAAACTTTGGAGACTATGACGCCCACTACCGGGACAGGAGTAACTGTGCCACCGACTTTGGCTCCTTTCAACCCCCTTTAATCTAAAGCTGCACCAATATATTACCACTATAGATTGCGGTCTGTAGTTCTCGAAAATAAAAATTCAGTGTTTTATCCGCTAACAGTTATTCTACGGTTGAAACGGATATCTTTTATTTTTAAAGAAAATCTGATACCTTAAGGTTTTGAATAAAGTTGTCTACCGGGTGACAATGTGGCGCCAAGGCGAGAACAACATCTTCCTGTGATCACCCGCATGTTGATTCTTATCGTTTCAGATTATGTAGACTGTCAAGTTGCTTTATAGAAAAATCATTGTTTAAATCTGCTACGACGTTTATTGCTATGTATTATAGTCATCGATATTATATACAATATAAAACGCTTCTGTATGTTTTAAATTGCGCTACAACTTGACAAAAAAAAAAAAAAAACTACTAAATAATTAGCCCATAACTTTCTCAATCTGAAGGATATGAATGTCAACCTTAGAAATACATGTTTGCGACAAAAATAGTTTTGAAAATACTGCTACGGCTAACGGCGGTACATATGTATACTAAAATTGAAACGATACAGAGAAGGTTACCTAGGAAAATAAAGAAAATTTCTTATCAGGGTCAGAATATATAAAAATGCAAATTTCAGACGTCTATATATTCAATAAAACACGAGATAAATAAAAAATTCCCGTAAAAATTAAAAAAAAAGTCACCCGATCGTCACCATAATTGGATCAATTCATTAGACAACTAAACAAACTGGTAAAATAAATTTAAAATAAGAGTAACTTATTTACTCTGATTACTCTGATTTTCTCTTATTTATAAACTGGGGAAATTGTGAAATTCTAGAGAAAATTCTAATCCGCGTTGGCGCTATCGACAGACATATAATTGCACAGACAAACACACGTGTACACAGACAAGATTCTCTTGGCTTTCTGTTTTCGATAAGAACAATTCATATGGTCTTACTCCAATGTCGATATGCTAATTCAATATTTTTTAGTGAACCGTAGCTTTTTCATTTAGGAAGCAAAATATTTATACAATATACCGAGTGATCCAAATATTTTCTATTTATTAGTTTGTACAATATTATAAAATTACCATATATTAACTTTTTTTAGTATTTTCTAGAGCGCGATCAACTTTTCAAAACATAAATATTTAATTAACTTTTATAAATCAGAATAATTTGCTGAAAAATGTTGACTGGTCGTTAACCAGTTTTAAAAGTTATTAGAATTTAGGACAATAGGCGGAGTGCGATTAAATAACTCACGAAAATAAAAAAAATACTACATTCCACCCTTATTCCAGTCCTAAACTTTAACTTTAACAACTTAAAAAGTAATTATTCAAAACAGGTCATCGACAAGCTAAAATTAAAATTGTCAGCAAATTTTTTTTTAGCTTTTGAACAGTTTTAATTCTAGTTTCTTAGTAGTTTAAGCATAACAAAAATACTTTAATCTATTGTCTTTTATAAAGTATAGTAATTACAATTATACAGAAAACAAACCGCTAGCCGATGCTATGTAGGTACATCTTTATAAATTTTGATTAATCACTAGAGTTTTAATTGTTGGTAACAAAATAACAGTCAAATATCAATAATTAGAATGTAATATTTTATATCAGTGAAAATTATTTATTTATGTACCTATTTATCTTTTGTATTGTATGTAAATAACCGAAAGGATAAAGAGGACGAATCCAAATATAATTGCTTATTTTCTTATAAGAAGTATTTTCAAATGTAAATTGTTTGAGCCGTTTATCGTATTATTATAGATTATAGATATTATTAAACATAGATATTGAAAAACTATGTTTCAACTTTCACCCCTTTGTCGACTGCCGAGTCAAAATAGTATAATAATGTATTGTTATTATATTATAAATAACGCTTTGTAATGTTCGGGTAACGTCGTTAATGATATTATAGAAATTTAATTAATAACGACCGTGCATTTCAATGGGAATGAACACCCTGAAGTATTTTCAATGAAACGGTAATCGATTAAAAATAAAATCCTGCGATTTGCGGCCGGATAATTTCAATAATATACACTATTATAACGATACACTATTAATACATGCTGTACCATACACATGACCTATAGACTGATTACGTCATTGTGTGAGTTTATTGTTGATTTTTTTTTTATTGTCAATGAAAATATACACTTTTATGTACGCCGCGCAGATCTGCCATGGTGTATTGAGCAAACACAAAATAAACGTTAAAATCGTGACGTAAAAAGGTATAGTAATATATAGGAGCATACATCAACATATTACTGTTTTTTTTTTTATACCTACCTACACCTTTTATTAGGTGCTATACCGAGCACGCGATTACACACACACGTCACACAGCAAAAAAAATACCCGTCCTCTACACACACTTATACATAATGACAATACTAATGCAAGCAGAGGGCCCGTGCCCAGAGCCCGTGGCTAACATCTGCCTAATTGACATAGGAATGGTGTATATTTTATACTATATGGATGTGTGCAGAATAGTGATAGGATCCTCTTTAGTGGAAATAAAAAATGTACTGGGGCCTTGTGTGTACTCAATAGTAACATCGCTCGTGTCTATTATAATATAATGCACAGTGAATATACGGTAATAGTTATAATATGTGTATATATATTTGTTTTTTGTACGCGCCGTGTTTCCGAAGGCGATTACAAAATATGCAAATTTGGTTCGTGCCATTTCAACTGTGTCTGCAATCTATATTTATAAATTATAATATAGTGTTATTGTTAGTAAATTATTATGTGCTCAAATGTTTTAGTAAACGGTGTGTAAATGACGAAACGATAATATTTTCTAAGTTAATCGATCACCGATCTATTGTAGCCGCTGGACAACCATTGTGTCGATCCCGTTCCGTTCAAGTTACAAATTACCGAAAATAAACATACCAATGTCTGTTAAAATACAATATTAAATGATATACATAACATATTATGCGCCAATGGCCTTTGATAACGAGGCAAAATTATTAATAAAAAAATATATATACATATAATATGTAAATATCCAGCGTGCGTCCACTGCCGTGTATTCTATACACGAAGCATTGCAATCCTATTGAACGCGTGTAAATTTTACCATACATTTTGCCACCTTTTTGTGAGTGAACGGCTCAACAGAACTGATCATATGAGATATCAATAAATTGAGAAAGTTGTATAGAAGGGTACGGGCAAAAAGCATATATATTGTTTCAATGCTTTCTTAGTTACAAGCAAAACAGTACAACATTAAAGTTATTATGTAGGGTGACGACGATGTTGCTGAAGTGGTCAGAGAGGGATCGGGGGAGTCCTCACCACTACGTCTACGCTGACACGCCTTTGTCACCGGTGGCCACCTAGCACCGGTACGACGTTGTTGCTGACCGCGGTTTATTGACAAATGACAATGTGTTGTGTCTTTGTTTAGCTACTGGTGGGTTATATGTGTTGGGCATTTTGTGTTATTATTTGGTATTGTAGTCTGATTATGATTTGCAATCATTATTGTACTACAAGTACTACATTTTATATTCGCATATACTCATGTATCTGTTGAGTACTAAAAAAT